TTTTTGTATTTTTAGTAGAGACGGGGTTTCACCATGTTGACCAGGATGGTCTCGATCTCTTGACCTCGTGATCCACCCGCCTCGGCCTCCCAAAGTACTGGGATTACAGGCGTGAGCCACCGCGCCCGGCCCTACCATTATAGTTTAATACAAATTGGTCTTACTGCCCTAAAAATCTTCTGTGATCTAATTATTCATGCTTCTTTCTCATGTCCCATTACCCCAGGCTCTGATTTCCCTAATATTTTTGCTGTCTCCATAGCTTTGACTTTATAAGTGTCATAAGTTGGAATCATGTAGTATGTAGCCTTTTCTGATTGGATTCTTTGGCTTAATAATATACTCCATATTTTTTCATGACTTGAAAAACAGAGTTTTTTTCATGGCTTCAAAGTTCATTTTATGTAAGCACTAAATACAATTCATTATATGGATATACCAAAGTTTATTCATCCACTTATTGAAGGACATCTTTATTGCTTTCAAGTTTGGACAATTATGAATAAGGCTGCTATAAACATGTGTGTACTGTTTTCCATGTAGATGTAAAGCTTTCAACTCATTTGGGTAAATAGAAAGAAACAAGATTGTTGGATTTTATGGTAAAAATGTGTCTAGTTTTGTAAGACACTGCCAAAGTGTCTTCCAAGGTGGCTGTACCATTTTTCATTCCCATCAGCAATGAATGAGACTCCTTGTTGCTTCATATCCTTGTCAACATTTGCTGTTGTATCGGTTTAGATTCTGACCATTCTATTAGATGTGTAGTAGTGGTATCTTACTGTTGTTTTAATTTGCAATTTCCTAATATTACATAATGTTGAGCAATTTACACATGTTTATCTTCTTTGGTGAAGCGTCTGTTCTGAAGTGTTCTCAGATTTTTAATTAGGTTGTTCATTTTCTTATTGTTGAGTTTTAAGGGTTCTTTCTATATTGTGGATAACAGTTCTTTGTCACATCTGTTTTTTTGAAAATATATTCTCTCAGTTTGTGGCTTGTCTTTTTTTTTCTTTTGACAGTCTCTTTCACAAAGGAGAGGGTTTTAATTTTAGTGAATTCCAGCATATTAATTAGGTATTTTATTGATGATTCCTTTGTTTTTATATTTAAAATTGAAACCTAAGGTAATCTGGATTTTTAAGATATGTTATCTTTTAGGCATTTCATCATTTTCTGTTTTAGGTCTATAATCTGTTTTAAGTTTTGTGAATCATGCAAATTTTGTGTCTAGATTATTATTTTTTATCATGGGGATGTCTAACTGTTTCAGCACTGTTTGTTGAAAAAGTTGTCTTCTCTCCATTGTATTGCATTTGCTTTTTTTTTTTAATCAAAGTAGTAATGGTTAAATATATTTGGGTGGGTCTATTCTGGGCTTTCTATTCTGTTCCATTGATCTATTTGTCTATTCTTTTACCAATACCACATTATCTTGACTGCTGAAGCTTTACAGTAAGACTTAAAGTAGGGTAGCATCAGTCTTCCAACTTTATTCTTTTCCTTCAATATTTTGTTAGCTGTTCTGGGTCTTTTGCCTCTCTGTAAAAACTTTGGAATGGGTTTGCTGAAATACCTAAAAAAATATCTTATGGGGATTATGATTGAGCTTGCACTGAATCTATGTATGATATTGGGAAGAAATTATACCTTCACAGTATTGAATAATTCTAGCCATGAAGATGGACTATCTTTCCATTTATTTAGTTCTTCTTTAATTTATTTCATGGGTTTTTTTTTTTCAACTTTTCCTAATGTAGATCTGATACATAATTAGTTTTATAC